AAAAAAATCGTTAATTTAAATTAATGTTTTTTTAAATTAACTTTTTTTTAAAAAATTAATTTTTTTAAATCAACTTTTTTTTAAATTAATTCGTGATCTGCATAAAAACCAGTAACCAATCATAGTAAATCATGGAGATATGTTTACTATATATTTTTTATCGTTTTTGAATCTGGAGTTTTCTAAAGAATAACTCAGTTTTTTACTAAGTGAATATTTTTCTTGCTTCTAATAAAAGTTGTAGAGATGAAAATTCTGGTTTTAATAATAGTTAAAATGTTAAAAGTGACCTAGTAGATTGTGAGATATAAGCATTTTAATTTTCATGGCTATATGTTTACTTTTTTATATAAAAAAAAATTAAACACTCATATCTCACAATCTACTTGATCAATTTTAACACTTTAACCACTATTAGAACCAGTATTTTCGTCTCAACAACCTTTAAAACATAGTAAAATTTAATAGTAAAAATTATCTAATTCTTATGTAGATCACAAATTAATAATTTTTTATTAGAAAACACTAAGAAAAAACCTGTTTACCGTAGTCGTATATGTAACTCTAATTATCGATTTTATGAATATCTCAATAGTGAGTATTTTTTATATTATTAGCTGGTTTTATATATATACATATAATAATTAAACCAAAAATTAGGTCCTTAAATGCATAAAGACATATTTGAAATACAGTACAGTGCAAAATAATCATATTGGTATATGTGCATTATCTTATGTTTTTATAGTTATTAAGCAATGCTACCTCAATTAAAACTTCTACAGGATTCTTATTTATATTAGATAAACACTATTATTTTATATATTTCCATGTAAGATAAGGTATATTTTATGTACTAGATATTGGATTCAGTATATCAAAGCTTAAAATTTGTTTATGCGTACCCAAATAGATAGCTGCAGGATTTGTTTAAAACTTTTAAAAGTTTTAAAGTGATGACTATAGTATTATTTTCAAAAATTTGGTTGATTGAAGTATCAATTTGAGTTTAAAGGTTCTGAAATAATGCCTATAGGTGCTATTTCACCAAAAAGATAGTTAAAAAATTTAAGGATAATATTTGATTGTTTAAAGAAAATTAATGTTATAAATAATAAAAAGCTCTATTTTATTTTCAGCATATTATAAAGTAAATTTATTGAAGTTTAAAAACATGATCTACTTGTAATCTATTATATCAACAAAAAGACTAACCAAACAATTAGCAAAAGTATTTCACAATTCATACTACTTCTCAAAGCTTTTTATATAAAAGGATTCAAATCAATTATATATATTAATAGTATATCAAAATACAAAGTTACACTTATATTACGGGGCCAAATTATACAAGATTTACATTTTGGACTATATGCTAAAGATTGGTGGATTCCTCATTCAACTAATAATGATGTAACATATACACATCTCTATCCAGTTCGTCTCAGTATGAAAACTATAACTACAATAAATCAGTGTGATTTCATAGTTATAATAGGTCAGGATAGTTTTGAGCCTGGATATTTGTATCAATCTAAAGCTTTACAAAGTGATATATATAAAAGTTCATCAAAAGCAGTTATCTCTATATATCAACAAGTTTTTTTTTTAAAAACTAAATTAGATGGCCTTTTAGTTATAGGATTTGACAATCCAGAAATATGTAAAATGTTACTTACTAATATTCATTTTTAACCTTATACTTTTAAAATCAGAAATATAAATTTGACTATTTTCAAAATTGGGAAATTAAACAATCCTAGTTGGAATTATGCTAGAAAAGGATATCAAAGCTCTTTTGTGCATAACTTTCGCAAAACTTGAGCATTATTTGTTTAGGAATTTAGTAATAAAGAGACAATTGTTAAAATATATCAAAATTCACAAGAAACATATATTTATCGTGATACTGACCCTAATACAGTATAGATTAGAGTTGGTATATTGACATAATTGACAGGAAAAATGCTATTTAGACTTGAATATGAACAAACAAAATCAGAAATCAATAAAGAACAAACTCTTACATATATGAAAGAAGATTGGCAAAATGAGCAGATTATGGATAAACTTTTTAATTATCATCTAAAAAAATTTATTGCTGTATCTATAGAATGGAAGCCCTTTTTTTTTAGTTGGCGAAATCAAGAAAGTAATATTATTGAATTAACAACATAGCTAAAAAAAATATACCCACCAGATTATACAATTAAAGATCGCAAAATGCATATGTT